TGCTTAACTAGCATGTATGAGGCACTGGGTTGGATTCTCATCACTGCATATTAAAAAAAAAAAGTCCACTGATAACTTAAAAATTGTTTTTAAAAATAAAAGGGCTGGGGATTGGCTCAATAGTTAAGTGCTCCTAGGTTTAATCCCCAATACCCCCAAAATAAAAAATATAAAACCACAACTCTCATACAAATATAAGATGAACACATATCAAAGATTTTTATTTATTTAAGTTACTAAATTAGTGAAGGAATCAGTAAGATGTTGCAACAAATTCAAAAGAGAATTCAAGTCACGTGCAGGTGCACATACCTGCAATCCCAGCTACTCAGGAGGATCACAAGTTTGAGGCCAACCTGGGCAACTTAGTGAGAGCCTCAAAGTAATAAATAAAAAGGATTAGGGATGTGGCTCAGTGCTAAAGTAACAGACTTCAATCCCCAGTACAAGGGAAAAAAAAGAAAGGTAGTATGGCACTCAGGATCCTAATCACACAAAATAAGATATCAGACATTCAAATTCCTTGGTAAACACACTTAGTTTCAGCACCAAAATTATATCATCTCATTCATTTTGGCCTTTCTAAATCAAATTAGATCTCTGTCTGTGATAAAAAAGGTAAATGGAGAAGATGTGGGCAAATGCTCACAAAACTAATATGAAACTTCCAAAAATGTGTGTTTTTATAAATCTAACATTTTTCCCCTCTCTCTCTCTCTCTCTCTCTCTCTCTCTCCCTCCCTCCCTCCCTCCCTCCCTCTCGTTTTGAGGACTCTGAAAATACAGAACATAATTACATATATTTCTCCTCCCAGTTGCTAACAGTTGTATTTTTCTAGCCCTTTTGCCTGTCGAAGTAGATTCTTTACTGTTCTAGAATTATGGACGATGTGCGCCCTACCCCCATTGCCTCCTGAGAGCAACCTTACGCCAGCTGCAGCTGAACTGGAGAGAGCAAGACATGCACCTATGGGATTTACTGGCCTTTGGGATTTGGGGGTGCTGCCTGTTCTTGGTGCTGGGGAATCGAACCCAGAGCCTCCTGGATGCAGGCAGGTGCTCTAGCCCTGAGCCACACCCCCAGCTCTAGTACTTCCTTTTAAAATGACACCTGTGATATGAGTATGGAAGGATATGGAAAACAACAACCCCCAGGGAGAAAAGGAGGCCAGGGGTCCTAGGGAGAGAAGGAAAACAATGGGCTCTGGACTTTCACCAAAACTGCTCCCCGACTCCCAGCGGACACATTCTGCTGAGCCAAGTCTAGTTGAAACCTACATAATCGACCCCTCTTGTAACCAGTTGCCATTCTCCTCCTGAAAATGTGCCCCTCTGGTGCTTGATGGAGGTCTGGTCCCTTTCTGTTTACTTTTGCTTTCATGTATGATCTTCTGTTTGGTTTTGCATCCCACATTTTCTGCTTCGGGATTCACTCTTCTTGTCCAAATAGTTTTGTTTTGTTTTGTTTTTTGGTACCAGGGATTGAACCCAGGGGTGCTTAACCACTGAGCCACATCCCCAGCCCTTTGAAATTTTTATTTAGAGACAGGGTCTCACTGAGTTGCAGAGGGACTCACTAAATTGCTGAGGCTGGTTTTGAACTCTCATCCTCCTGCCCCAGCCTCCCAAGCTACTGGGATCACAGGTGTGCACCGCCACACAGGGCTTCAAACAGTTCTTCCAAGGAGAATCTGTCATCAGTAAAACTTCTGGGCTCTTCTATACATAAGGTCATCTTTATTTACACTGACTCTGGAATAATAGCCTTACGGGGCATAGAATTTTACATTTAACATTATTTTATTCAACATTTGAAAGATCTTATCTTAACATCTGCTATTTCATATGACAGAATTTGGTGTTGATCTGATTCTTATGTCTTGGCAAATGATCTGTCTTCCCTCTTTGATAGCTTTTAAGACTTCCTTTTCTTGGTTTCAAGTGCAGCTCTGAGTTTTTTCTGTTTCATTTCACATGTTTGGAGAAGGAGGCAGAGGTTGCCGCATCTTGGTTTCCGCAGTGCCGAATGGGGAAGCCTCATTTTATGTCACACACTCGTCATTTTGAATCATTTTTGTGTATTATTGCCAAAGCCTGATGCCCCTCCGGCCCTGATGAGGTTTATGGGACTTTGGGCGAAGTGTCATGAATATGGATAAACTTCTATTTTTTAAAAGTCCCCTCCGCTTCGTTCAGGCTGTCACTACCACTTCACCTATGGTAATCTACCTGTTGTGGCCTCTTCACTGCTCTCCCGCCACTCAGCCTGGCTCCTATTGCTTTATTATAACAAATGATTGTATCCTCTCCAGCTGCTCCTCCAAACTCAAATTGCAACTTTACTTTGAAAACACACAGGATAATTCCCATGCTCGAGTAAGTAATGGGATATCTCACATCGAAGCTTGTCAATCATCAGGGCCGCATGCACTTTCTATTTTTTTTTGGGGGGGGTGGGCCTATTTAACACAACTTTCACATTGTTTTGTGGTCAGAAGATGGCTGCTGGAGCTCCAACCATCAGAGGCACATTCTACAGAGGATAAAGAGGAAGATGAGAAGAACAAAAGTTCTACTTCCTGCATGCAGTCTCCTTTGGGAGAAACTCCCAGACACTCCACCTCTTCAAATTATATGGCATTGACCACCCTTAGCTGTGAGGAAAATGTTTGTTCTCTCAAGTACATTGAATAAATTGTCATTATAGCACCACTTTTGATTGCTCTGCAGTCTACATTAGCTTACTTCCCAGTTCTCAACTTCCTTCTAGTTAGATGGGTTATGACTCCATATTTATTTATTTATTACTAGGGATTGAACCCAGGGGCACTTTCCAGCCCTTTTTAGTCTTCATTTTTATTTATTTATTTATTTAAAAAAAATTTTAGTTGCAGATGAACACAATATCTTTATTTTGTTTATTTTTATGTGGTGTTGAGAATTGAACATGCCAGGCGAGCGTTCTACCACTGAGCCACAACCCGAGCCCTAGTTTTTTAGTTTGAAATAGGGTCTTGCTAAGTTGCTCAGGGCCTCGATAAGTTGCTGAGGTTGGCCTCAGACTTGCCATCCTTCTGCCTCAGCCTCCTGAGCTGCTGGGATTACAGGCATAACATAAATGTTTTGATTTTTATGGCCTTCGCCTATTTTCAGAGCTCAAATAAATTGGATAAAACATTAACCGTCCAAATCATTGACTATACCAAAACTTTAATGTCATTGGGGAAGCACTGTAGAAATGGCTAGATGTCAGCTAACGAGTTCCACATTCACCAAGAGCCTGCCCACTTCCCTGGCACTGTTTATCTGCAATGAGTCCTGGGACCAATCGATGTGATCACATCTGTATCTCCGAAAGACAGCTCAGTCCACGCAAGGTGAATGGGAAGAGAAAAGAGGCCAGCGGCCATGTCATTCTGTATTGCTGTGACATGGCTGTCACCCACATTCCCATCTGCCCCAGCATCCTCACTAGCCCCAACTTCAGATTTTTTTCACCTCAAACCTTTGGCTCTATGCCCACCCTCCCAGAAGCTCAGGGGTAGTCAGGGTGGTCTTCCAAGCTTCATAATGCTTCTGCTGTCAATCATACACCTACTGAGTGCTCACTCTGGGCTGTGGGCTGGGGTTACAAAGGTGGATGAGACTCAGTTCTTGCCATGAAGATGGGGACGACTTATTTTGTTTTTCTTTCTGCTTGGAGTATTTTGAGTCTGGCTGAGCGTGGTGGCTCACACCTATAGTCCAAACAGCTGGGGAGCCTGAGGCAGAAGGATTGCTAAGTCGAGGCCAGCTTCCGCAACTCAGCCAGGCCCTAAGCAACTTAGGGAAAGCCCCTCTTTGATATAAAAAACTAAAAAGGGCTGAGGATGTGGCTCAGTGGTAAAGCACCTCTGTGTTCAATCCCGGGTACCAAAATAGAAAAAGAAAGAAGAATCTAGAGCTGATCTTGGCTGGAGAAGGGAAAGCAAGAATCAGAGCACAAATGGGCAGCCTGGGACTGAAGGCAGGGAAGCCGCCTGGGCAAGTCTGTCTTGGGCCTGGGAGTCCCTTCCCCAGGCCAGACTGCCCCGCCCCTTCCCCTTCCCCTTCCTCTTCCTCCTGTCTCCTCACAGCCAAGCTTGGCCTCCATTCAGTCCTTCCGGAAATCCCCTACCCAATTTCCAGCTTTTGAAACAATGACTCTCTGGAGACTATTCTCATTGTCCTTGGGACCAGAACAATGAGAGAGTGGAGCCTTCTCTCTGGCCTCAGGCTGTACCCCTGCCCCTGGCTGCCCCCCAGAGGAGAAGCTTCCAGAGTAGTGGTGGGTTCCCATCTTACCAGGTAGGAAGCTGGGGAGGCAGAAGGAAAAGCTCCAGGCCCCTCTAGGGCCCCCTTCTCCTAACTAGGTCCAACAGGGACTGTCTCCGCAGGACGGGGAGAGGCCACCTGCCCGGGCCCGGGATGGACAAGGCAGCTCAGGGTCCGATCGCTGTATTTTCTGAATCCCTTTCAGGCCTCAGTTTCCCCATCACCGAGGCCAGGCTTCCCAGGGCCAGGCTAACGGCCCGGGCAGTCTTGTTTTTCTCACTGCCCACTCCTCTCCCACTCCCAGCTCTGACCCTAGGAGACCCCTGTCCCCTCCCTTCGGCGGGTTCAGCCAAAAGGGCTGTGCGCTGGGGGAGGGGGCGGGCGGGGCTCTCCTCGCCCCATCCTGGCGCCGGGCTGGATCGGGTTACTGGAGGCAGTCTGGATTTGAATGTGCAAATAAACAGAAGTAGCTTTGATCCGTGTGGCCGAGAGGGAGGAGGACGACAGCCGAGCGCCCTGGTCAGAGAAGTGCACGCTGGGCACTTGAAAGAGGGTCTGGGGGCTGTGGAGCAGGAGCCGGTCCTTAGTCCTTGGACGGGACCCCAAATGCATTTTGTTAAAAAAAAAAAAAAGGTGTGGGGGTGGGGATCCACGTCCGAGGGGACCCACGCAGGCATTGGAGACCCTTCTGGAAGTCAGATCCTGGGCCTCCCTCCCCGCCCTCCCCCGAAGTCTCCGGCCTCAGGCCAGCCCGGGTGCCGCCGGGAGGGGAGGGCGGGGGAGCGCGGTGCGGCTGGGGTGGGGCCGCAGGTTGGGAGGGGGCCGGGCCTATTGTGTCCCCGGCACCAATCCGCAGCCCCAGGCAGGCTGGAGAGGGAGAGACAAAGGAGGGACTGGGGAGCACAAAGGGAGCAGGAATGAAATGGTAAGTAAAGGCAAACAAAAGTGAACGGGGGGAGACAAAAGCCGGGAACAATATTCCCCAGGCAATAGGCTCGGGAACAATGGGGACACTGACAGCCCCACAAAGACACCAGTGTCTCCAAGTAGACGTTATCTCAGGCAGTGGTTGGCAGCCCCGCTCTGGCTGAAGCTATTTTCAGTGCCGCTTTTGTGCCACGCTGAACAATATTGCTTGCATGGCTGCTGATAGAAAGATGAGGTTTCTGTTTGATTCCCCGCTTCCCTTCCCTCCCCCTCCCGGGTTTCCAGCCCCCACCCGCTCCAGCCATGTGGAGCTCCAGTCACCAGTCTGGCTGTGGTGGTGGCGATGGTGATGGTGGTGGTGGTGGTGGTATGGGGGGTGACAGCAGGGGACCCAGGGACCAGAGTAGGAGGGTCTCTTTCAGGGTTTCCAGTTGCCCTCAACCTTATCAGGGCCTCCAAGGAGGGAAGGCGTGGAGGTCAGGGCCGGGCAAGTAGGGGCAGGAAAACGGGGGCGTGCCAGGGTTGGTTCAGGGAGTCCCAAACCCAGCCTGAGCAGTTCACTGTTAAAAGTGAACTTCACAGTGACGGATGGCCATGCCTGTTTGGTCCCACTCTGGAGTACTGCCCCCTTCCTCCTTTGTGCCACCAAGTGTCCCCTCCACATACACACCCATGGCTACTGCTTCCACCCATCCTTGTTTATGGTTTCACCATTCTTGACTAACTCCCAGCTTCCCCTGCCACCTCTGCCACTTGGAGGTGATCAGAAAACTAGTCCTACCCTTGGAGAAGACCACTTGGTACAGTCTGGCCCTTCCATAGCTTGATGGCCACCCCCAGGGTGCACATGACCCTCAGCCACAGTGTTAGCATCTCCCCACTCTGTGTCTCCTCTGCCTTCCTCCCTAGAGGAGCCTGGACCCTGGAGTAATGGGTCAGAGATGTCCTCTCCCAGGGCCTCCTTGGCCTCAGGCTGTGGGCTCATAGCTTCTCGGGATTATAGCCCTTCTGGCTGATGCCACGTGTTTAGATAACGCCTCTGTTTCTTTTTCACCTAAGCAAACTTCTTATTATTTTGTTTAGGTTATTTTTTTTTAAGTGGTTAAACTATTTTTGGGTCTTTGGCTTCTTTAAAAAAAAAATGAGACCAGACTTCTTGGGGAGGAATTCATATAAGAATTTCAAGGAGAATGTCTTCCTAAGAGTCTAGACACTCAAAGGTTGACCTGGAAAGTTGACAATAATGTGATTTATGGGACACATTGTGTCTATTTGTCCAGCTTGCTTGCTTTCTTTTTCTTCTTCTATTTCTTTCTTTTTTTTTTTTTTTTTTTGCAGTGTCAAGATAAAACCCAGGGCCTCTTGGTCTACCACTGAGCTACATTGCCCAGCCCTTGTCTGGCTTTATTATTATTATTGGGGTTTTTTTGTTGTTGTTTATTTTTTGGCCTTACTGGGGATCTAACCCAGAGGCACTATCACTGAGCCATGTCCCCAGCCCTTTTTTATTTTTATTTTGAGATAGCATCTTGCTAAGTTGCTTATGACCTCGCTAACTTGCTGAGGCTGGCTTTGAACTTGGCGATCCTCCTGCCTCAGCTTCCCAAGGAGCTGGGGTTACAGGTGTGCACCACTCTGCCCAGCTCTTGTCCAGCTTTCTAAATGTAAGTCAGCTCCTTGAAGGCAGGAAACACATTTTAGACCTCTGTTGATCACCTACAGCATCAGGGTACACGATAAGTTCTCAATGAACACTTGCTGAACTAGACTGGATTTATAGAGCCAGAAGGGACCTTGAAGCTCACCAAGTTCCTTGTTACTTAAAATGTGGTTTCTGGGCTGGGGATACAGCTCAGTAGAGTGCTTGCCTTACATGCATAAGGCCCTGGGTTCAATCCCAGCACCACAAACACACACACACACACACACACACACACACAAGATGTGGTCTCTGCATCAGCAGCATTAGTAGCATCACCTGGGAACTTGTTAGAAACGAAGAATCTCAGGCTCCCTCTCAGAATCTGCATCTTCGCTAGCTCCCCTAGTAATTCGTATACTCTTTGAGGAGCAGTGATCCAGAACAACGTCTCCCACCTGGCTCCTGCCTGCATCATGTGGCATTGCCATCACCTAGAATCACAGAAGACATGGGCCCACCCACGTCATCCAGCCGCATCTACAGGAAGACCTCCATCCTCTGTGGCAGCAGCCCGTTCCACCACGGCAACTCTTCAGCCATCAGACTGAGTGAAGTCATGAAGTCACGTTCAAATAATCTTTCAAGTGGGACTTCCTGTGCTCCATCAAAGCTTATTGAGGGACAGGTTTAAACGCCTACTGTGGTTTCTCTGCGTGAACCTCATGATGATCAATTTTATGTGTCAACCGGACCAGGAGGCGAAGTGCTCAAACATGTGTCAACCGTTGTGGGTGGGTCTGGGTGGGCATTTCTAGATGAGGTTGACATTTGTATCAGAAGGCTGACCAGAGTGACTGGGCTCAGAGGTAGCTCACTGTAGGAGGGTGAGTCCCTGGGTTCCATCCCAGGAAAAGGAGAAGAGGAGAGGGGGGGAGGGGAGAGGAACAGGAGACTGAATGAAGCAGGTTGTTCTTCCTAATGCTGAGTGGACCTCGTCCAGCCATTTGAAGACCTGAATAAAATGAAAAGGCTGAGTAAGAGGGAATTTTTCCTGCCCAAATACTTCAGCTGGGACTTCTGCCTTCTGCTTTTGGACTCCAATTGAGACTTTTGGCTCTTCTGGAACCTCAAGCCTTCTACTTTTGGACTGACCCCCGCCCTGGTTCTCAGGCCCTTGGACTCAGACTAGAGCTCGTTCATTGCTTTCCTGGGTCTACCGCTTGCTGACTACAGATTTTGAAAATTCTCTGTCTCTAAAATCACATGAGCTTTATCATAAATCCCACTCTTTCTGTGTCTCACTGCATGTGTCTGTCTACAAACACACACACACACACACACACACGCCCCTGTTGGCCCTATTTCTCTGGAGAACCCTGGCTAATACTATTCTTGGTACACCTACAAATGGGGTTCTGTAGTAACAAAGACCTAAACATGTAGAAGCAGCTTTTGAAGTGGGTAACAGGTCAGAGGCTGGAAAAATTTCGAGATGCATGTTAGAAATATGAATGTTCAAGGTGATTCTGCTGAGATCTCGGTGGAAATGAGAAATATGTTACTGAGAAACTGAGCAGAGCTATCCTTGTTATAAAGCGACAAAGATCTTGGTTGAATTTTGTGGGAAGTAGAACCTGTGAGCGGAGCGATAAAATCAGAATTTAGCTGAGGAGATTCCTAAGCAAAGTATTGAAGGAGCAGCTTGGTTTCTCCTGACTGCTTATGGTCAAATGAAAAAGGAGAGACATGAATTGAAGAAGAAATTCTTCTTTGGGCTTTTGACTCGGAGGAGGCCAAGTTGCTATTTTCTTCAGTTGTCCCAAATCTGAATTCATCCGTCACCATGCCACCCAAGTTTGACCCTTGTGAGATCAAAGTCCCGTGGCTGAGATGCACTAGTGGTAAGGTTGCTATCTCTTCCCTGGCCCCCAAGATTGGCCCCCTGGGTCCGTCTGCAGAAAGTTTGCTGATGATATTGCCAAAGCAACCAGTGACTTGAAGAGTCCGAGGATGACAGAACAGCAGGCACAGACTGAGGTGGTGACTTCTGCCTCTTCCCTGATCATCAAAGCCCCTAAGGAATAGCCAAGAGATAAAGAAACTGAAAAATGGTAGACACAGTGGATAACACTTTTGACAAGATTGTCCACATTGCCTGACAGGTGTCGCACCAACTTTTGCCAGAGGAACCATTAAAGAGATCCTGGGGCCAGGCGTGGTGGTGCATGCTTGTAACTCCACCTACTTGAGAGGCTGAGGCAGGAGGGTCAAAAGTTGGAGGCCAGCCTCAGCCATTTAGCAAGACCCTCACTGACTCCAAATAAAAGATGAAAGGGCTAAGAATGTAGCTCAATGGTAAAGCACATGCCTCTCATGCAAAAAGGCCCAGGGTTCAATCCCCAGCACTGCTGGTGTTGGAAATTGTGGGGGAAAAAGAGAGAGAGAGAGATCCTGAGCACTGCCAGTCTCAATGGGCTACAGTGTCCATGGCCTCACGACATCATAGATGACACATCATCGTAGATGACATGACAGCCGTGCAGTGGAACACCCAGCTAGTTAAGAAATTCAAAGAAAAACATTTCAACAAAGGATCATCTCACAATCAAAAAGAAGAAGAAAAAGGAGGAGGAGGAAGATAAATTGTTCAGCAAGAAGGAAGCAGAACTTGAAGGTTTGGAAAACTCTCAGCCTGTCCGTTTGCCCTGAAGAGAACACTAGGACTGTGACGGAACGAGTATTGGAAAAAGAGACCAGGAGTGAGTCAGGGGCTCCATTGTCTTGGCAGAAGCCAGGAATGGAGATGAGGTAATACCAGCACCGACATTGCCAGTTTGGCTTGAACGGAGGGGACAGAGACACAGGACACAGTGAAGAAGGCTTCCAGGACCTCTGAGGTCTGACTGCACCGTGGAGCTCTGAAGGCCGCTCCGAGATCAGAGGGCTACTTCCCAGGTTTCAAGGCATGAGGCTCAAGAGGTCTGATGGCCTCCGACTGAAGCTTTGGGGGTGGCATCACTCTGTGGAGCCTAGTGAATGGGACCCCCCCATACACCCAGCAGGGTCTCTGGAAGGCGGTGAGCCCTTCCTGGCATCACTGTGGTGGACAGACTCTGTCCCAGGGGTTTCTGAAAGTGGGACAGTCCTCCGCACTGTGTCTGAAAGACAGCATTAAGCCAAAGAGAATTCTAAAATAATTCTAATAATAATAATAATTATTATTATTATTCCTCCTCCTCCTCCTCCTCTTCTTCTTCTCTCTTCTCTCTCTCTCTCTCTCCTTCCTGGCCCTCCAGGTGAGCAGTTCCTCTCACATGTGCTCGGCCCTGCTGTGTGGCCTCACCACCGGTGCCAAAGCAGCAGGCCAGCCAGACGTGGACTGAACCCTCCAAGGCCGTGAGCCAAAATAGACCATCCTCCTTAAGAGTTGATTGATTTCAGCGATGCAGAGCTGACTACCGGACCGACTTGTGTCTGATCTTAGACAAGATCTTGGACTTTAGATTTGATGTTGTGCTGGGTTAAGAGTCTGGGGTCTCTTGCATGGAATAGTGTATTTTGCATGTAGTAAGGACATGAATTTCGGGGAAGGGCAGGGCACAATGCTGTGGACTGGTTTGTGTCCCCCACTGCTCCAAATTCATATGATGAAGCCCCGACCCCCCGGAGTGACTATCCATGGAATAAGGAAGCACTTAAGATTAAATGGGTGGGGCCCTCATAGGATTAGTGTCCTGATTAGAAGAGATAAGAGTTTACTTTCTCTCCCTGCCTGTGAGGACACAGTGAGAAGAAGGTGGCTGTCTAGAAGCCAGAAGGTGGCTGTCTAGAAGTCTTTGCCAGAAACTGTGGACATTGGTCTGGACCTTTTTTTTTTGTACCAGAGATTGAACCCAGGGGCACTTAACCATTGAGCCCTGTCCCCAGCCCTTTATTTATTTATTTATTCATTTATTGTGGTGCTGCAGACTGAACCCAGGGCCTTGTGCATGCAAGGCAAGCACTTTACCAACTGAGCTAAATCCCCAGTCCCTTATTTTTTATTTTGAGACAGAGTCTTGCTGAGTTGCTCAGGGCCTCCCTAAGTTGCTGAGGCTGGCTTTGAACTCATGATCCCGCTGCCTCAGCCTCCCAAACTTCTGGGATTACAGCATGTGCTGCCAAAACTTTAGTCTTAGATTTAAGGATTTTGCTGCTATTGTTTAGACAGTGATGCTACTTTCCCAAGTAGTTGTGGTGTTCTACAATTCAAAATAATTTTTTCTATCATTGTTAGAAATGAACAAAACACCCTTGTTGGTGCCCACTGACAACACTATTCTTGTGTTTTTTCAACCCTCATGTGTTAAATCTTATCATGTTCTGTAAAGATCATCATGATTCCCATGTACTCAGCCAGTCTAAACAGATTTGTTATCCGCAGCTCGGGGTTTACTTGGCTGTCTTCTTCTATCAAACAAGTCATTTCCCTCCAATGAAAGCAGCGGTCACTTCGGATCTGTGGACAGGCTGTTGGGGAGAAGGTGGAGTGCTGGCTGGCAATCCATTGACCAGCCAAACTGGAAAAGCAGCTTTTCACAAGTTTCCTCCTGTCCTTCCACCTCACTCCCCATATCGAGGGAGGGCACAGAAAGGAAAAATTAAAGTTTAGAATGAACCTCCCCAGCCAGGTGCGGTGGCGCACGTCTATAATCCCAGCGGCTCAGGAGACTGAGGCAGGGGGATCGTGAGTTCAAAGCCAACCTCAGCAACTAAACAAGGCCCTCAGCAACTTAGTGAGACCCTGTCTCTAGATTAAAATTACAAAAAAATAGGGCTGGGGTGTGGTTCAGTGGTTAAGCGCCCCTGAGTTCAATCTCTG